AAACACACTAGAGACATGACTGCAATGATGCCAGGATGCGCCAGAATAGCGCTACACCCTCTGCTGTCCTGGTGGAGAAGTGCTGTACAACACTGAGTGCGTTTACATGCAGCCAGTCACCCTTTTAAAACCCGAATATTCACAATAACCCGGTTCCGCACGGCCATGTAAACACCGGCAAAAACCCGGATATGCTCATAACCTACACCTGGGGTAACCCTTTTCTAACCCGAATGTTTAGTCGTGTAAACGCATATCGGGATATCCCCATCAAAGCGTGTGTTCTGCGCATGCTCTGTTCGCAAGGAATCTTGGTCTTTTGAGTAGCGAGACGTCTTGTATGTTTAGCGCAGCTCTCTCTATGTTTGCCATTTCTTGCTCAGGTACTCTCCTTCGAATGAAGGCCAGTACGCACAGTCGTTGTAAGAGCTGCTGGTGGGTCAATACCAGCACTAAAGCGCAAACAAACGTGGTCGCCATCTCTTCCGAACTGGGAAACATGTTGTTTTCATGGATACCGGAACAAGAAGAACCGAAAATGACGCATATTGCGTCTTGATGTAGTCCATACGTCCTGACGCTACCCCAACGTCTGCATTTAAATCGGGTTATGAAAGTTAGGGGTAACTCTTTCTATTTATGCTTGTAAACGGGTTATTCTGATCAACTCAGAAACCCGAATACCGACCTTAACCCGATCATAACCCGGATATTGGCTGCATGTAAACGTAGTCACTGATGGAGTGATAGAATAGGAAAGCATCAATGTGTGTGTGTGTGTGTGTGTGTGTGTGTGTGTGTGTGTGTGTGTGTGTGTGTGTGTGTGTGTGTGTGTGTGTGTGTGTGTGTGCACGTGCCAAGTTGCTGACGGAGAAGTATAAACTAGGTTTTAGGCTGTGGGTCTAAGCTTATCATATCTTAAAACAGCTTTTCTCAGAACGAACTGTCTCTCCGTGGCCATTACAACATTACTAATTTACATAGCAAAGCAGGCCAGAGACGGCACTAATGTTTTTGGTACATTTGACAACTCAACCTGCCTAAACTCAACAACACCAAGGTAAATGTGGTTTTGAATTCCAGGACCAGATTAAACTGGAAAATCTGAGCTTTTAATGTATTGAATAATTGTAATTAAGAGGGCAGAATCTAAAATATTTATATGTATTTGCCTTTTTTATTTTAAGTGCCAACATCAATTTCTGGGATGTGTCTTGGTGAGATTTTTGTGATACGATGCAATATATCACGATATATTGCGATACATTCAGTCAGACGATATTAGCAAATTTTTAGACTGAATTGATTGTAGGAAAATTCAATAAACAATCCAAACTGTTAACATGTTTCACACGAGGTATCTGAACCATAATAGAGGGATTTACAAAACCCAATGCACACAGCTGCCAACTAGCGGCCTACGTTTGAATTGCACCAAAAGAAAAGACAATACAAAAATATTACATTGCGTGTAAATTCTTCCAAAAATTAGATACACAGCTTTTGTGTATCGATATAATATCGTTGGAAAAAATATCACGATATATTGCCATATCGATATTTTCTTACAACCTTAAAAATTTTCGGTAACGCTTCCTTTTACAGTCCCCTAATTACTAAGTACTTACATGGTACTTACATAGTAAGTTAAATTATGTTATTGTGTAATTAAAGTGTATAATTGTAATAAAGTGTAATTATCGTGTTAAGCAGTATTCACTAGGAATGATTAATAAAAATAAAAACTAGAATTGAACCTGAGTTACATGGTAATAACTGTTTAAGAACTCAGAAACAATATTACACTTTAACTTACTATGTAATTACCATGTAAGTACTTCGTAATTAGGGGACTGTAAAAGGAAGCGTTACCAAATTTTCTTTAAAAATCATCTAAAAACCATCAAAAACATTCAGTCCTAAACAACATTTAAAGCTTATTTTAGATATTGATGAGAATAAAGATAACTGTAATTAAACTGCATTACCTTGATGACTAAGAAGATATCCTGGGAGGGGTAGGTGATGGAGAAGATGGCAGACCGTGCCAGTGTGGAAATGGCTGCTGTCTGAATGTGAGGACGCAACATCGCTTTTGTTTGCTCAGAATTTAAGTCAAAGAAAAAGTTTTCCGATATCTAAAGGACACAAGACAGACAAACGGTTAGTTACATTTGATCAAAGGAGACCAGAAATGTATTCATAGGACAAACAAACGGCTGTATTCCTACAGCTTCATGTCTGGCTGACCAGCACGGTAACACTTATGAATGACTGCATCTACAGGAGCAGCATGATACATGACAGCTCTTCTCAATGCCGCTGCTTCCCTCTAGTGTCCGTTGCTGTAGCCAGCTCAGAGCAGAAAGCAGCAGCACTAGATGGGCTCGTTCAGTTAGACACAGTTCCAGCACATGATTTAACTAGACTCTCAAAAGCTTAGCAGGACCACAGCATGAAAGTTTATAGTCCACTCATCAGATTTGTTTTGGTCTCTCAACGATTTTAATGGTTTGCAGAAGTGACCACACAACTCAGGGCCAGAGAGGTACTGAAGAAAGCATAACAGCTTACCTTTTTCTTTTCCTTGACATCGTATAAGGCCAAACTAGCAAATATAGGTTCAATTTCGATCTCAAACCTTCAAAAGGGAAAGAAAAACGAGCGGGTCAGCAAAAAGCAGCAGTTAAATAAAAAGACTACGCTGCTTTTATTTTCCCTGGAAAAGGCTGTCCACCACTTACTTCAAGGACAAGCACTTGACGAGTAGCCTTTGGCCAAAGTGCTCTTTAGGTACTTCAGGCACACAGTGGCGCTCGATGGGATCTTCCTACACATTCACATGGATGAATGGTGTGGGAAATTCAGGAAAATGACTCAAAAATCTGCTAGTTTTAACATTTTTTTGGTCTGACAGACACAAATCTCTAACCGTACAGCATAAGTGTGTTCTCTACCTCATCGGGGGCGGGGTGGAGAGCAAAGAGTTCACGATTGCGGCTGGTCTTGCGCTGCTCTTCGTTGTGTCGGTCTATCTCCTCGTTGGGAGCCCGGTCAAGGAGATGAGGGAGGAGCGCATCGGGGAGGGAATTCTTCAAGTCAAAAATGCTGCAAGCCCAGCTGCCGCGTGGAGTGTCATCTATAGACATCGATCGCCGCTTCAGATCGTCCTAAACATCAATGAACACAGGGAAGGGTAGACACAAAAGCTCTTACAAAGGAAAAAGTAAAGCTGCATTTTCACCTCGGGTTTCCACCGGAGCCGTCAGCAGCACGTTACTGCAGCAGCACGTCTTGCTCGCGTAAGCTGCTGCTTGGCCCTTCCCACTAGACGCGAAGCAGCAGGGGAGCAGCTGTCACCGACAGAGCACGAAGTCACACGAGTGACTTCGTCAGTAAACACAACAACAAGCAGGAGAAAGTAACAACATGGTTTGTGTTTTATGTTCTGTCCGTTTCATAATCGCCAATACGGACCTGAAAAACAAAGGAGGCCGCTAACTAGGTGATAACGTCTCACGGGGACGCACATTTAGTAACTTTTTTTAAAGTAAAGCAACCGGAAGGCAGTACGTTCTTTATTCTGAAAATCTCGGGAGCTTCTCTCCATTTCCGCGTCCGATTTCCTGTCTTTCCTTCCCCAAACATGTCGAACTTGACCCGTTTCAGAGGCGTCGCGCGTAGAAAATAGAACCGGCGCGTAAAGGCCGCGGCATGCTGCTCCTGAGACGCGGCCGACTCGCGCTGCTGACGGCTCCAGTGGAAAAGGTTCTGTTGACCACAGCGGTTCCTATCAGCAGCTATGACGTGCTGCTGCAATAACGTGCTGCTGACGGCTCCGGTGGAAAGCCGGGATCAGCCTTGGTACCTGGTCATCCTGGTAGCTGCTGCTATCTGGCATCTCATCAGCCTCGAACACCTGTTTAGGCAGGCCTTTCTGACGCTCCTTCTGTTTATCCAGAGTGTTAGGGTTAAAGCCTGTGCTGAGCTTATGATACCTGAAAGAGCAAGCATTCATTTCGAACACTGCCAGACTTTTGACAGTAACGGCCAATCTAAATGTGCTACAACTTCCTTCTTACTTTCTATTGACAATGGCCCAGTCTTCTGTGTAGGACCTCGCACAATCCCGGACGTGAGGATCTGTGTCCCTGCAAACAAACAAAAGGAGTTCAAAGCTACTGTTACGAGAGCAGAAGGATGTTGTGATTATGGTCTTTTTATTAGCCGTTTTATTTGGCATATGAAAAACAGCAAAGGCAGTTTAGCACAAGTCTGAAAGAATGATTTCAGCAGAGATATTTGGCAAAGTCATCTAAATTAGAACAGAAAATGCTTTTGATTGCAAAAACAGTCTATCACAATTACTCTTACGGCAGACTGAAACAGTTAAAAAAAGAAAAACAGGATTTCTCTTCACTCACCCTTCCTCTGGGACAGCTTGTACCACAGTCCGACAATCCCTGGGTGTGTAGATGACCTCGATGTCATCAGGGGGAAACTCAATGAGATCTCTCAGGGGACCAGACTCAACGATGGGAGGATGTGTGATGAGATACTCCTCAAAATCCACCGGCTCCACCGCCTCGGTGAGGGGAACCTGGAAGGCAAGAGGAGCACGAGTCAGATTTGACAACCTCTAAGGAAAGAGGAAGGGTTCAGAGTTACTTAAATAGTAACTGCTGGTGGTGGTCGGAGGGACCGGTGGCGCCTGTGCTCAGCAGCCTCATCTCTGTCAGTGTGCCCCAGGGCAGCTGTGGCTACATAGTAGCTCATCACCATCAGTGTGTGAATTAAGGCTGCACTATATTAGGAAAACCTGCGATATGCGATAACGGTGATTAATATTGCGATGACGATATTACTTGCGATAAAAACTTAACTCAAAAAATGACAAAAAAATCATAAAAATGAGAAAAGCAAAAGTAGTGAGGAAAGGAAAAAAGAAAATGAAATAGAAAAGGCAGTCAGTGGATCCCAGGAAAAGCTGAATCAGCAGAAAAATCAGAACAAAGCCAACTCAGGTGTTTGCAAACCATCAAAATGAAGTGCCGTCCACCTCGGGGGCGGGCATCTAACCTATGAGAGCCCACCTAGTTGGCCAAATGGGTGAAGAGCTCTCTTTGATTTGTTAAAAAACATCATGCTTCCATTTGATTGACAGAATGTGCAGCAAACATTTGAGCTGACCCATTCATTACGATATTTATCTGTTCTTTGCCATATGCATATTGCGCATGCTGAGATTGCGATAACGATATCTTTGCGATATATTGTGCAGCCCTAGTGTGAATGTGTGTGTGAATGGATGAATGATACACTGTAGTGTAAAGCACTTTGGAGTCCTTACTCTGAGAGGCGCTATACAAGTGCGGCTCATTTATCATTATCATTAAAGTCAATTCTGAAAATAGGGAGATCCGTTACTAGAGCCACTGCCTTCACAGCACTGCTGCATGCTAGTACAAGTAACAGGATTGTCACATGTGCTTCCGCAAGGACAAGCTAATAGTTTCATGGGTCTTTGTTTTAAAAAACCATGAGGGAATGTGTCTCCAAAGTGTTACGTTTCAATGTGTGAGTTGGTAATTGTCTCACTCCCTCTAGACAAAACTAAACACAAATAATCCTCACAGCATAATTAAAAACCAACTGTAGCCTAATTGGGTCTGTTGCTTGTGTTTGTGCTGAGGGCTGTTCAGGGTCATTTGCCACTAACACTTTAACAAACACACAGTAACCTTAAAATGACTGCTGCAGCAATGTGCTAAATGTCATTTGAGGTTCATTTCCAGCTGTAATCATTAAAATGGAAACAGAAAATAACACCTATACCGTTGTACTTAAGCATTAGCCTGCTCAAATCACTCTAGTAAATTAGGAAAATAATCTTAGAGTTTAAATGCACACATAGACCGATATTTATTTATGTTATAGCTAAAACATGTGTCAGATTATTTCATAGTATTAAAACCTAAAAAGTACAGATGAAGCTTCCAAGCTTTTCATCCAGTTTTTATGGTTTTATTTCTTCAAATAAAACATGTGTTGTGTATGTGCTATCAGTCACTGTTTAGATATTGGCTGGGAAATCTTGGAATTTAGCATTAATGATGATTAAATCTTTCAAACAAGAAAAATTGGGCAACAGAGAAAAGTTAACAAAAAATAAAAATAAAAATAAAAATAAAATAGGAATATTAATTAAACCTGAAATTAAAACTTTAATTTAGGGATGCACCGATACCGATACTGGTATCAGTATTGGTAAAAGTTAACCGATACCAATGCAGTTGCTTGAAAATGGCTTCACTGTAACTTGTCATTTATGTTCACCTAATATTTTAGTTTTGTGATGATTTCCATTCATATATTTTACTTTTAATCTAACTCACAGTCTTTTCCTGTTGAAAGCAGAAAATAAAATAAAATCTGTATTCCAAATCATTGCCTTTTCTTTTGTGGTAGAAGCATCGGTATTGATAATTGGTATCAGCGAGTACTCAGATCCAAGTATCGGTATCGTATCGGTTTGGAAAAAAGTGGTATCGTTGCATCCCTACTTTCATTGCGAGTTCAAAAAGGAGTACAAAGAAGCCGATGCTCATTACTCCCATAGACTCTTCTGGTATACACCATTATACATGCAGATGTCAGAATCACACATCCCACCAGATCATGCCTAATGTAGAGTACAGCTACCACATCTGAGACAAAATCCCCCATATACTCATAACTCTTGCATCCAATTATTTTATTCAAGCAGCGCTTGAAATTGTCATCAATTCAACTGCCATGTACATTCAACTCCCTGTCGTAAGTTTTCTAAAATTTTGCTCTCCTCTGAACTTCTCTTTTTTTGTGTTACTCTGTTAATTATTTGACCCGTTTGGAATTTTACAAGACCCATAAATCTTACAATTTTAGTTTGACCTTAAATAGTTTGACCTTAAATTTGCATGAAGTAAGACTGATATCCTGTGGTCAAATATGGCTACTGCAGTCTACGTTTAAAAACAAGGACACCCCCCTCCCCTTCATACGTTTCTAGGCTGCTGCCTGTTTAGCATCAGCGCCAGAAGATTCTAGATGACAAGCACAGACGAGTCGCACACGGTAAGTTCATAAGTAGAAAATAAATACATTTCACTGTAATATCGAGTTGTTGGTAAATGAAAATCTAGCTTGAGATATTTTTAGAGCTAACTATTTGAGTCTAATTCCTCTTTAGCATTGTTAGCTCAACATTAGCCTTCTTCACCCGATATTAAAGTCAAACAAAAAGATGCCGTGGCTTCTTAGGGGTACAAGACATGCCTTCAGAGTAGGGCTGGGTGATATGGCCTAAAATCAGTATCACGATACATTGAGGATTTCTCCTCGATAACGATGAATGGACGATAGCTACAGGTATGCGCAGAAACAAAAGTTGTCCACTAGATGGGGCTGTCACGTGTATTACGTAGAGTCACATTTTTAAGTGACTCAAGGTGGTTCAGCTTCTTAAAGGGACACGAACGTTGCCAACCTACACACATCTTTTAAGTTTTTATTATCAAATGTATTGACATGGGGAAAATTATCTCGATAAGAGTCAGGAATTTCGATGACGATACATTTTTGATTAATTACCCAGCCCCACTTCAGAGGCGCCCCTGTTACTGGCTAACAGTATTTCCACAATGCTGGTAATTTTTGCTGGCCGGTGCTGAATTACAAATGGTGGCACACCAGAATTTACCGGCGCAAACTTGGCAACTCCGCCGGCTATCAAATTGTAACCGACTTCGTCCCTCCTCTGGCCTTTACAAAAGGAGAAAAACTGACAACCACCCAGCCAACATGAAAAATAATATCATAAAAGGAATTTTTTCCACACTGCCCATCCCTAATACACACTTCTGCACTGTTGCACTAATTAGCCTTGTGCAAGAGGTAATCCTGGACCTAATTTAGTGGGTGGGTACATCTTGATGCTACTCACTGTGTTGCTTGATGTGGTCCCAACATTAAGGTTTTTGAAGAGCTGAGGGGAGCCTCCATACTGACCGGCTATCTGCTTCCTAACTTCTGCTGCCACAGTCCTGTAAAGAGGAAGAGAGTGAATACAGTCAATGGGTAGGTGGACAATCTTTATTATTGATGGTGGAAAAGACCTCACAATGTGCGGTCTAACAGATCTGGTCTTTGCTTAGACTACTGCAACTCGCTTTTCACTTGTTTGAGCAAAACCTTCCTGAACCGTTTACAGGTAGTTCAGATTGCCTTTGCTCGGCCTTCCTTTTTTATTCATTATTTTTTTCCTTCACATTTGAAATTTTCCTTTTTCTCAATCTTTCATTAAGATAAATATTAGGGATGCACGACATGTGATGCATGGTAACAGTGGTTAATATTGCAGTGACGACATGGCTTGCGATACATAAACAAGTACTTAACTCAAGAACAAAGAAAATCAAAATCAAAGAAATGAAATTATTTTAAAATGACTAAAAAGGAAATCAGCTAATTGTGGGGAAAGCAGAATGAAGCTAACTCAGGGGTTTGCTAGCTATCCAAATGAAGTGTCGTCCGCCCAGGGGGCGGGCATCTAACCAATAAGACACCCCCCCGATTGGCAAAATAAGTGAAGAGCTCTATTTGATGTGTCAAAAACTTCATCCTTCAGTTTGATTGACAAAATGTATTCTGTGTAGCAAATATCTGAGCTGATGATTCATTGTGTTTTTGTCAGTCCTTTGCAATATGCGTATTGTGCATGCCGATATCTAGATGACGAAACTTTTGCAATGTATTGTGCAGCCCTAAACTATATGTGTAGTTTATTTAGTTTTAAATATGTTGTACTTGTAAAGCGCTGTTGACTTCAGAGGACAGAGGACAGGAGAATGTGCAGCTAATTAATTAAATCATTTGGTTCTGTAACTTTCTCTTCAGCACAGCTGACAAAGGTTTAAGATGGGTCAGTCCTCCTGCATGCTCTTAAAAGATTGTTCCAAAATGAAAGTTGAACCCACATCTTTTTTATCTGTGAATTCAATGCCGTTCAGCGAGTCTCAAATACAAATTTGGGCATCTTACTGTAAAAAAATATACCATTAATGTAAAAAAGAAACTCTAAATAAACTATGTTCATATCCAGAATCGAACCCGGGTCTTCTGCACGAAAGTCCGACGTCTTACCAGGCGAGCTAACGCGCCAGTGACGTCACTTGTATCTGTACCATTTAAGAACGTTCGGAGGGCGATGTCTGAGCATGAACGCGCATGAAGCAGCCTGCTCGACCCGAGCAGCTCTCTTTTTCTGTGATTTTACAGAAAAATAGGCAATCACAGTAAAAATGCCAGGGCTCATTTTACAGGACCAGGGCATTGCAGGAGAATGTATGAAGAAGAAATTTATTATTTCTATACATGTTTTGGCTGTCAAACTTCCATAATGTCCCTTTAAAGAAAAACCCAGTCTCTCTACACTCTCAAATCCAGAATAACATTTGTATTATGTTCAAAAGCACAAAATTAATGTATCTTGATACAATATGAAGTAAATTACCTTAAATTAAAGTTCAGATCTATTAGAGCAAATATCATATAAAACTGAAACAGAGAAGAGAACAAACAATACAAATCCCCGATGCCCAGTGGTTAGTCAGATAATCTGGATGTTTTAAAGCTACTGGAACTAAGCACTCCTTGGACCATCAAAACCACTCAAGAGACCTCTGCTTTAACAAAATAACACAGGAAGTAGTTTGAAGCAACAGAAACAAATAACAGATTACAGCTAATAATAAAAACTACACACAAAAGGTTAACACAAGTTCATTCACAAAACTTTTCTGTAGTGTTTCTAGTTTTATCCTAAAACCAATACCACAATAAAACTACCTGTCTGAAGGTTACTTATAACTCTGACTGGAAATATGAAGGGTGCGGACTGAGCGACTCACTCAAAAAGCCCAGTTGTATTCCATTTCATCATCACACCTATCGTAAGTGT